CATACGTCATCTTGATTTGATTGATCAAGATTATCGTTAGTCATTAGACACAAATTCATTACCTTCTCCTCTGCTTCTTCTTCTAGCAATTCTGAGGCCAAGTCGGCCCAAAATATAATTTATGTCTTCATCTTCCCTTTCTTATATTTTGCTTCTCCTTGCCTTTTTCCTTAGTTAGCTGAATCTTTATGTTGGGGCAATCAGCTTGGAGATAACCTAATTTCCTGCACTCAAAACAAATCATGTCATATGAAACATTAGTAGTTTTTGAGCTTTTACCTTTGTTCTAGTTATTTTAATTATGCCTTTGTTTTCTTTTCATAAAATTCTTGAATTTTCAGGTCATCAAGACTATATCATCATCTTCCTCTGTTGCAAAACTTTCACATTTTGAATTATTTGCTTTTAGGCCACCATCCACTTCTTTTCTACTGCATCATTTTGCCTTTGACTCACTCCTTACTCATAAGAAATGAGTGACCCAAGCAAATTGACAATTTAATAAATATTTAAATTCTTAGATTAAGTAATTACAGTAATTTTAGCATCATAGGAACTCGATAAGCATCTTAAAATCTTACTAACTTTTTCAGAATTAGAAATTTCTCTACCAAGTGCATACAAAGACGTTACTATTTAGGTGAACCTAGTGTACATGTCAAATATAGTTTCTCATTGCTCCATTCACAAAAAGATATTTGAGTTTTCATGTCATTCACAAGTTTAAAACATGTAGTGTAACCATCTTGAACCAACATCCACATATGATAGTCTATAGACTGTAAAAATGTAGATATTCTAATTTTCTATAAATCAAACGATATACTGTCAAACCGAGGTGGATGGGTTATAGAATAACCCTCCACAGTATTATAGTTAACAAAATGTGTCATGATCGATTTTTCAAGGTTTTCTAAAACATTATTTTGGAAACTCTGCTTTGATATCAATTGAAAGTATGAGATGCGCTAAGAGGGGGTGAATTAGAAAATTTTGTAATAAACAAATAATAATAAATAGAAATTTTAATTTTTTTATTTAATTTTTAAACAAAACTTAACTTAATGTGTAAGCAAATAATTAAAATATGATTGCAACAATAGGTGGTAAAATTTTAAATTAACATAACACAAATCTAGAATAAAATTTTCACCAAGCAGTTATATCAAATATAAAATGCAGAACATAAGTAAAGTGTAGTAAACGGAAAAATCACACCATAAGATTTATTGTAGTTTGGTCACTTGACCTACATCCACCTTCGGAATCCTCCACTCCGGAAATTTCTCTACTCAAAAGTAATTCTCCTTTTTTCTCCATAATAAGGAGGAGAAGCCTTTACAAAACGTCACTTTCGCCTTCCTCTATGCGGCGGAATACTAAACGCTATGTCACCCTCCCGGTGACGGTAGCAAACCTTCTCATTTTTCTTCATCTTGGAGAAGACATAGTACCTTTGAGGACATAGACCTTGAAGGATCTCCCCCTTAGAAAGCTCCCACAAAATTTTCTTAGGCCGTAGGAGGGGCAAGTGTGTAGTAGGCTTTGAGACACCATGTGATCCCCTCACACTCCTCCCTCATAAACTCAGCTTCTCCTTTCTCTCACAAACCGAAAAAAAATCTCTTCAAGTGGCTCCCTCTAAAGATATTTCCTTCTTGTCACATTCTTCTCTCTTATTTTTTCATAAGACAAAAGTATCATATATAAATCAGGCTCTAAGAAACCCTAAATTTTTAATTCAGCTATTTATGTTCATATAGTATGATCCAAGATCGTACAGTACGATCAGTTCAAAACAACATTCATCCTGATACGAAGGAGTACGAATAGACAATTTTTCTAAACATTATCATACAGTACGATATAAATATCGTCCTTACGATAAGTTATATTTCTTCTATTCGTACAGGATGAACACTAGGATGACCAAAACTCGTCTCTGTTCATCATCTAGTATGATCCACTTTGTACAATACAATCAGCTAAAATCTTCATGTCGTCCAGTATGATTAGTTCAAAAATCAAGGGATTGTCTAGTACGATATTTGGGATAAAAAAAAAATAGCCTCGGTTCATTATACAGTATGAACCATGTCATATAATACAATCATCAATCAATAATTAATCCTTAATTTAATTGACTAATCACGGGGTTTAATTTAAGCAAGTATTCAAATATTTGTATTGTACGATCAGTTCAAATTTAAGATTTAAAAAACTTACTTAAATTAATTTGACGGCTAGGATTTCAAATTAAAATTATATCGTACAGTACGATGTTAATCATACAATATGATTAGTTCACGGAGATTAGCTGTTGAGCCATAGTAGTTCGTAGAGTAAGATTTAAAATCATACAGTACGATCTACAAAGAATAAAAAATTTTTACTTAAAAAAATTATACCCCTATGTGTGCGCATGGTTGCTCAGTCTGCATACACTTTGTGGCCAGACTCAAGAAAATAAAAATAAAAAAATAAAAGGAAAATATAGAGTTACAGACTTTACATCCTATTATATCTAATCTCGAGTCTTCTATTGTCTTGAGTAATATGTGATTTTTCTAAAATATTAGTACTCACAGACAATAGCAATATCAAAAATATTCAATAAATAATAAGATAATTCAATCGACATTCTTTATCATCATCAAAATTTCAGGCTAGAGGTCATGGACTACAACACAACACAATAATCATCTCCTTATAACTCACAATCAATGTATCACGTGAATAAGTATAAGATAATATCAAATCCTAATATTTAAAAGAAAGCTCATTAGCCCACCATCATATGCATGTCAATCAGTCTCTAACTAATAGGTCAACTAATCTGTATTTGTCTTATACACATATATTATTATCATAATACTATAACAGTAATAATGACTAGCTATTAATCAGTTCAATCGCATATACACATTCTTTTTCAATGAGTTGTAAATAAAAAAAAAGTTAAACTTAATATAGAAAGTGCCAAAATGACTTAACGGTATACAACAAAAATCACACTGAGCAAAAATTTATATTTTCAGAATTTAACTAAATTACCTTATATTGCATAAAATAACATTCTGAATCTTTAGTTAAATTAAATTACTATTTTTAGACATCAAAATACATTTCTAAGAATGAAAAAATCAGTGTATTTTTAAAATCACATTGTAAAAAATCTCAAATAAATATTCAAAATGCTTATAATCTCAATCTCTATAACATATAAAAAGTTGCGCGGTGAAAATTTTATCAACACAAAATTATTCTCATTTATCGGTAATGAAAATATAAATTTGATCAAAAAAGAATATCAAAGATATAAACTTCTTGAAATCAGAAATAAGGTAAAGGTTCCTTGCAGCGAGACGAGCGAATCTCTCAAGTGACTCGGCTAATGAAAATTGCCCTGCGACCTCCAAATTTGAATTTTCTTTTTCTCTCTCCTCTCATTTCTCTCTAAATCTTTTATACAATTCCTCTATTTGCCGAAATCACAATGAAAAATAAACTTTATTTAATAATCATTAAGTGGCTTTTGATAATTATAATAAAATAATATATAATATTAATATAATTATTTAATTTAATCAATTTCTCAATATAAAATTCAAATGCATTCTTTTGAGACTTTAAAAATTATAGAAAAATGTCTATAAAATAAATTATTTTATTAAAAAATGGTAAAATCGGTTTGTAAAATAGACACCAAATGGTTATAAATTCCCCACTTGTACCGATAGATGTCAATTTCTTAAGGAATTTTATTGGCGCCCAAAAATTACGAAAAAAATTGTATAATTAAAATATCACAATCTCAATGTTATGCATAAGATGGTTTGCGATTTAAAGTTATATTGATTCCAAAAAAAAAAATTACCTTGGCCAAAATATGGGTTATTATAGGAAATCCAACGATAATTAGTGGTTGGGTATACGTCAAGCTACAATTGGTGGTTAGGTGGTAGTCGAGGAGGAGCTTCGTGGCAAGGTATTATCTCAAATTTCTCTTCTTCTTCTTTTTTTAGAGAAATGCAAATAGCATTAAAAGCGGTAAAGAAGAACCTAATACAACCTAGAAAAGAAAAAAAACTAGCAGTTTCCAATGCAAACAAAGGGATATGAACTTTATTGAATAGTAACAAAAATTATTAAAAAAATTATTTGTTAAAATGAAATTATCATAATTGAAATGAGAACCACTACTTCTCATTTTAAACAGTACCTTGGGGTAGAGGGGACACCAAATATTAAACTACCTAAAAAAGTTGGTTAGTATCCAAGAGTTTTCAAAAAGGTAAAAAATGAAAATTAGGATGTATCCCAAAATCAGTTACTATAATTTCAAAAAATAAATAAAAACCAGCACAAAAAAAAAACTACACAAACTAATAAAAAAAAAAAAATCTACATCAACTCCCACAATATCAAGTAAGATTTTGAGTGTCTTAATGATGTTAGAATAAAGCAATTTTGGGCTCGTTGGATTCATCTCATCAAGCCGCTTGATTTGACTATAAGAACACCACATTTCAAAATCATTTGGTCATCCAATTTATGGTTTGAACCTTTCAAATGTGCATTGAGTCTTCGATTTGCACCCATTTTGGCTCAGATTGAGTCGAATTCAATGTTTTCGAGTTCGACTATTTTTAGACGTTCAGTTCGACTATATGTTTGCTGAAATCAGAGTCTATATGATCCCTAATTTAATTTTAAAAATTTTTCACTCAAATTTGTTTTGAGATTCATGTTCGACCGAGATAAGTTTTTGATGATATATAATATCAAATATATATTTATGATTTAACATTCATCATTTAAAAATACAATTTTTTTGGGAGGCAATTGGGGTATTGGAGCCGAGATGAGATGGGATAAATTTCTTCAGTGTACCACTCGGCCGCAAATCCTATCCAAAATTTTCTGAAACACGGTGGATTCCGTACGAGATTTCTCACCTCAGAAACCCTATCCTTCTCATTCCATTTTCCTACTCCCGACCTCTTCTAGCCATTTGTTCTAATGAACTCCCTATTCTGATGGCTTCTTCAGCAAGCCAACTCTTTCCCTTTCCCGTCAACCAGAATCGCCCTTCCTCTCCTGTCTCTCTCGCCAAATTCGGTACAGTGACCTTTCCCGGCCATCGAGGCCCATCAAAGCACTGGCGAGGGTTTAGCATTGAAATTTCAGCGCCGAGGGTTTCTCCTTCGAATGAAGGCATTGCAACAGGTGTGGATGATGATGGCATTTCTCTTGGAACCATGAAGCTTCCCACGGATACAGATATTACCCTATTTGAGACCTTATTGTTTCAGGTCATAATACCCTCTTCTTCTCCGTTTAAGTGTAAGTTCTCTGAAAATGTTCACTTATATGGTTTGGATTTTGAGTTGTTTAATTGTTTGAAAATGCAGTGGGCTAATAGTCTTTGCCAAGGAGCTAATCTGCCTCTCCCTGTTCCTCTTAAGGTCAGTATAAATCTCCTAAGGTTCAAATTATCTATGTATGTGGCAATTAATTTATCAATGAAGCCTGCGTGTTATAGAAAATTTTCAGTGCCAATTTGAACAGAAACGCCTCAGCAAGATTAGTAGTTGCTGATATTTTCTTACAAGGCGGATTAATGTACATATCACCCTAAGTTATTCTTTTTACATATTTAACTGTTAAAATTTACTAATTTCTCATATAATTTTAAAATATTAAATATAAAAAACAGCGAAAGGGAGACGAGATCAACGATGTGTTGTAGATAAAGAGTTTGATGATGGATTGTTATTCTTTTTGCATATTTGTGCATTTGCCGAAAATTAGAAAAATATGTCTGATGCTTTATTTTTTTTAGAGAAATATGGACGAAAGTTTCCTTCAAACTAGAAATAACCTTACTATGGATTGAAAAGTACTTTTTTATATCCATCTTGCTCAAATTTGATTCGAATAACATTTAAAAAAAATTAATCAAAATTCGATCAAGATTGAAACAAATAACAACAACCACATCAAGCTTTTATCCCACTATTTGGGGTCCGCTACCTAAATCTTTGTTCTCCATCGTGTTATGTTAAAAGTCGAATTCTCATTTATATTTAATAATAAAGGTCATTTTTAATATTTTCAAGCCAAGTCTTTTTAGAGCTACCTCTACCTTTCTTAATATTGGCAGGCCAAATCCAATACATCTACTCTCATAATTGAGTCATCAAAAAGCTGATGTTTTATGTGTCCAAACCATCTAAGGTGACTCTCTCTAATTTTATTTTCCTTTGTAGCTACTCCAAAATATTTTCACGTGTGTGTATATATATATATATATATCACATAAAAATAATACGTAATTTATCATTGTACAATCATTTGACAATAGTATTTTAAGAGTTATATAATTGATCCATGCTAGAAAATAGTTATGAAGCCTGTGGACGCTTGATCTTACAAGTTACTCAATTTTGACTTCCAACATCATGATGGTTATTCCTCTATTCGACTACATCCTTCTCCTCTTTGGAAGGCCTATTTTTCTTTTGATGAACACTTGGCTTTACCAATGTGAATAATATGACATATCTTTGTTTCATCTGAACCATCCTAAGCATCTTTTTTTATTTTACTATATTTATATTTTTAGTGTATGTAGCTATGTTTCCTGTGTATAGAATTATAAATATAAGGAATAAAAACAGGTACCCCAACCCTAAGATGTTGCCGATGCATGTTCATATGGAATACTAATAACCATAGTTTAAAATTGCGCAATAAGAGGTGCGCCTTTGCGCAATTTGCTCCAAAACAGCCTCATTGCCTAAGCAATTTTGAGGCTTGATGAGGCTTACGCCTCAAGGAGATTGAGGCACACCTCAATTGCGCTATTGCTCAATTTTGTATGCGGCGTACGCCTCAATTTAGGGGGCCCACTCACTTAAAAAACCCCCCAATTCTTCTTCCTTATACTCGCTTACCTGAAGTCCTGAACTGAAGTCACTCAGGAAGAACGCAGACGACGCACGATCCGGATCTCCTGCACGATTCCGCCGCCTCTCCCACCGGCGTCGCCTCACGCCAGTGAGGTCTTGTTTCCGGTCGCCCTCTACGACACTTCTTCAACTGGTCTTAGGTTTTTTTTTAGTTAAATATATATTTATTTTTTTTAACTTATAGAAAATCTAAGGTTTTAAATTTTTTGAGATTTTTTGTTTTATTTTGCATTTATGCTTTATGAAATATGGTTTAGGGCAAGGAAAAGTCTAATACGTCATTGCGGAGGTACCCTTCGTGGAAGTACAATATACAGGTTGACGTAGGCGGCGGTGAGAAGACTTATGTGTATTTGAAATACCATTTTTATGATAAAGTGGTAAAGGGCGGAGTAACCCGCATGAGGAACACTTATTCTGTACTTTGAATTATGCTATGAGATGCATATATTGCATCTATTTTATTGTTTTCCACTAATTTCACCTCTCATTTAGATGTTTTTATTGTATGATAGACTCTTATGGTTATTTACATGCTAGAATACTTAAATTCTCATTTACGCAATTCTTCGTCCATGAGGCTTACGTCTTGCCTCACGGACGAAAAACACATCGATGCTTATTTACGCAATTTTAAACCTTGCTCATAACATCAAACTTTTGTATAATGACATGTCCTCTCCTATGAGGATGCGATCCAATGTAGATTATCATCATGGACATATAGTTCAAATTGATTAATAGGGTAGATGACCATGCTTTGAGCCTTATTTTGGAGTTTTTCCAATGCTTCTTCATTTTCTTTGTAAAATAATTTTTGTGTTTTGTTATATTGCATCCATTAAAGAATTATTTTTGCACTATTTGTCTTAAAAAATCTTACAATGCAGACACTAGATAGGAGCATTACTCTTAGTAACATTGTTGAAGCTCTCAAAAATGCCAATTACATCATGTAGTATCAATTTTTAGAGAAGAAAGTATGAGCCCATCTCCAAAGCTAACTTCATCATCAAGATAAAATGTTATGGCTGGTTTCTTAACGTGTATTTTGTCAAAGTTCTTAAAGAACATAGCTCTTTTGTAAGCATTAGAAGCGAAATGATACTCATAATAACTATCAAATTTAAATTTCCTAGTTATGTTTATTATTACATGATGAGTACTAGCCTTTATAATGTGTCTCCATAAACATGGTTGACAAACAACCATTAGCGATGTTGTTGTGTCTATTAGAGAAAAATACCAACTTCTCTATTATGCCTATTGATTCCTCAATCTAGTCATAAAATACAGCCATTAATTGTTATTTTCTATGCCAACAATTAAAAATACTATAGGATGAATGAGTATTGGCATCTTGTGCCACTACCATAAGAAACATTTCGCCATAACATGTATACAAGAATGTTTCACACATACTTAATATTGTGTGGCATATATTTTTGAATCATTAATTACGAACACCCAAAGAGACATGCAAATTTGAAGTGCAATCATTATCTTCTTGGAGATCAATAATTATATATGAAATTTTTTTGTGTGGCATAACTAGATATTATTGTAAATTTTGAAAGAATGCATTGAGGGAAGACTCACATAGGTGATAACTTTCTCATGGCATCCTAAAGTCTTCTTTTAGGACAAATTAATATCATAGTCTTTCTTAACATCTAATATGATTTCCCTAGGCTTCATGTTAGGATGGGAGGCTATGATCTTATCTTCATTTACCCAATGAGCTATGATCGAGTTAAGTGGTCTATAGATCTTACATTTAACATACAAGTTTGTTCTATTGTAAGGCTTGTTATCTAAAAAATATTTGAATTTTCAGAAAATGTACCATACTTTTTTATATGATTCTCCATTTAGATTGACAGATTTTTTTCATGGCATACACATGTAATGCCTTCAAGTCTTCTTTGCTCCCATATAGTTGCACAACGCATAATTAAGTACGGGATAAGCTATTATAGGTTGGGAGTCATCTATGTATTTTTCATACCTTAAATTATTTCTTTTAGCTCGATTTGCACAAAGAATTCAAAGACCTGGGCCATTTCTTAATTTCGAATTGACCACAAACACTTCGGTTGATATCTTCAATATACACTTAAATTTTGAAGCGTCGATTGAATGGAGATCTCCTGTAGCATGCACGTCCACAATATCACCAATTTTTGTATGTGGAATGTCCCCATCATCAGCTATACTAATGAAAGATTGTGAACTTACTGATCTTGTATAAGCTCCATTTGCACAAGAAATTATAGTTGAAATCTTCTTAGGAGTAGCGAAGACACATTTGGTCCTGATGCTTAATGGATAAGAAAAAATCAAGATCATCATCCATAAGTAAATTAGTTGGAGGAATTGATGAGGCTTCACTAAAGCAGTACATACCTCTAATTTTATATTATTGTCCCATACTCCCATATCAACATCTAGCACTTTAGATATAAGATCAATCGGATTGTTAAAGGAAATATTTCTCTGTATTTCTAATTATTTGTTCTATTTTTTTAGATCCAACCAACTTTCATGTTTTCCTTTCATTCTCTTCCATGTATAAGAATGTTGATGCTTTTTTATTTATAAAAAAACACTTCATCTTACTATAACTTTATTGTTCCTCAAACATTGATCAAAATTAATCGAATCGTATTCAAATAAGCTCATATTATTGATTGAACACTGCTCCAATCATGTTAAAGTATACTCAATTTGCAATTGAATTATAATAGAAGACGGAATCATACGTTCTTTAAACCTAGTTAAAATATTTATATAGTTAATTGATACATCACCAAAAATTACCTTGATAGTGCACGAATCTCGAGGCATATTCAAGTTGGAAACTTTCAAAATTAAATTTGGAATCATTTGAATTGCAATTTCAGGAAACTTACAGTCAAATTGAACGTATCTTAACAACATCAAAATCGGTCCGACCCAAGACCAAATTGGTCCAAATCGGGGGCTCAAACCACATTTGGAAGGTTCAAAGAATTATTTGGATGACAAAATGATATCCAAATATGGCATGCTTATAGTCAAATCAAACGGCTCGGCAAGACAATTCCAATGAGCCTAAGATTAATGAGTTCCTGCATCATTAAGGTACTTAAAAAGTTGAAAAACTCTATATGATCGGGGAATCAATACGGCCATACGATGGATCACTCCAAACCTGCTCCGGATCTTTTCTATATTTACGGGATGTGTCACTCATAAAAATTTATAAATAGACCCCCAGTCTCTACATAAAGGGGACCTTTTGGCTAGAGATTGGAGAGAGCTCTAAAGTTCCAAAAGCTCCAGCACAACCACCGGCGAACCCCCATTGACTGCTGTCGGACCACCGCTAGGCCGTCGATCACCGTCAAACTTCCACCCGGCCACCTTGGATTTTAGCTCGACCGTCGTCGGACCACTGCCCAGCCGCCGATCGCCGCAGACTTTCACCTGGCCTTCGACAGCCACCGGACTTCAGCCTGGCTGTCGTTGGACCACCCCCGGTTGCCGCCAGACTTCCTCTCAGCTGTTGATTGTTGATTGTGGCTGGACTTCAGCCATACCTTTGTAGGACCACCGCCCGTCCGCCAACCGCCATCGAACTTAAGCCCAACCGTCGCCGCACTTCCACCCAACCGCCAACCGCTGTTGCGCTTCCACCTGGCCGCCGACCGCGGCCGCACTTCCACCCGATCGCCAACCGTCGATCGTCGCTGAACTTTAGTCCGACATTCATCGGACCACCGCTCGACCGCCAACCGCTGTTGGACTTCCACACGGCCGCCGACCGCCGTCGGCCTTTGTGCAGAAGTTCAGCTGACGTGGAATGATCCAACGAAGGTCTGGCGGAAGTCCAGCAGCGATCAGCGACTAAATGGAAGTCCGACGGCGGTCTGCGGCTGGGTGGAAGTTCGGCGGCGGTCGGGACGGTGTTCTAATGATAGTCGGGCTGAAATCTGACACTGGTTGGCGGTCAGGCGGTGGTCCGATGAATGTTGGGCTGCTAACTTCCGACTGCCAACCGCTGTTGGACTTCCACCCGGCCGCACGACCGTTTTCAGATCTTTGCCTAACTCTTCAATTTGTTGTAATTTGGCCACCTCTTAAGTAAATGGATGGGTCGACCTTTGTAATTCCCTCAAATTTAGTTGAATCTTTTCACTTGGGCAAGGCTTCGTAGATTTTCCCTCTTCGGACTTTCCACGTAAAAAATAAAGAGATCGGGTACATCTACACTACATGATGGAAACTCATAAAAATAGTACCAATAACTTGTGAAAAATTTTGTACCCATGTATACATGAGTTGTCAATGGACGAAGAAATCTTCAACTTCGCACGCATCTCCATCTCGAGCAAAGAAGCTCGGATGAAGAGTTAGACGACAATACGAGCAAAAGCCAAAGTGGAAAGAGTGGGCGGCTTCCTTTTTATAGTGGGATATGAGTATTATCGAGGTCTTTTGATATGAACGAAATTTTTTTGCATATTTCTTCAAACAAAAAGCAACGAGAATATTTCTCAAATTTCGTCCGTTATAGGACATATAAAACCAACTTTATCTTTTAAAACATCATTAAAAATTATAGGAAATATATGCAATTTAAACTGTGGCAAGCCAATTGTACCATATCAAATTCACTGAATATTTTGTTCAAAGAGAAAAGGACCCAAAATGGTCCATTGACTCTTTATAAAGGATATTTTATATCTTTAAGTGACTATTTTCATCTTTTTTCTCTTTATTTAATGAACGATGTCATTTATTTAATAAAAAATTGATTAATATACATAATTTGAAACAAATGACAACTAGAATTGATAATAAATAAAACGATCAAATCCATAGGAAACACGTAGAAAAGTTGCAGAAAACTTTGATGAGATATTCAACCAAATTTTTTATTAAAATGTGTTTGTAAATCTTTAAATTTATTTTAACCTGGTTGTAATAATTAACTCTTATATTACACTCATCTTAAAGTAATTAAGAGTTTTAAACTTCATCATAAATAAATTTCGATCATGATCAAAATATTCTTACCTATTATTTGTCCCAAGTAAATATCCATTTACTATAGATTTGCTATAGGAGCATTTGTCACACCTTTGATCATAGCTAGTTGCTACACTTCATCATCCTGCAACAATTTGCTAGATTAAATTGTAGCAAATTTAGAGCCAATTTTATTGCTGCAAATCCATTGGATATTTCACTTAACATTTAAATTTTTATATTTACATATATATAACACGTTGGTGCTTAAAACTAATGTTGTATTTCACTTTAAATAAATTAGTATTAATTAAATTTTTAATTTGATTAAATGATTATGTGTTATATAAATAAATATTGAAGCTAAGTGTTAGATATGTAAATATATAAGAATTCAGTGATATAAATATAAACCTCCTATAAAAAATTGACATCATAAGACCCGAAGTAACCCGGTTTATTGACCGTGTTTCGTTACAATGTTCAATGTATCTATAAATGATCTATCGAAGCATCGACGAGCAAATTCAGGAGAACAATTACTAGAAGGCTCATTTTTCTCTTGAATTTATGTAATAAACTTCACCATTCTCAGTTCATTTGGGCTCCTTAAGATTTGTCCTTTGCATGATATAATTTTTTTTTTATTTAAGTTTTATTTGGGACAACTTTTTTACTGCTTCTTAAAGCAGTTTTAGAATACAAAAATTTTAACTTTTGTACTAAAAATTATTTTAAGAAGCAATAAGAAAGGAGTCTCAAACGAAGCCATAGTCAATTGTAATATTTTTGCTATATATATAAAAATGTTTGGCTAATGAAATTAATATTTGTATGATAATACAGATAGATAAAGTGCAAGGGGGAGTTAGATTGGGTTTTATCAAAGTGGTGGATGGGAAGACAGAGGTCTTCGTCTACATCGACTGCCTGGTTTGCCCAGCGACTGAGGGAACCGGTCCAGTTTTCCGGGCCATAAGAAACGGACCGGCCAAGGAAAAAATTCCTCCAGGAGAGGAACGGATTATGAGAAGCCTTCTCCAAGCCCTACAGAAATCCCTTGAAATCGCGAGGGCTTAGCATCTGTAATGTTAACTTTCTTAAATTTATAATTTTTGCTTCTATTATAAAGATGCATACTGCTTTACTGAAAGAAGTTTTTTTATTTTTAATTTCAAGTCTTGGAATACTTTTTTTTCTTTTTTTCCCTTTTATTATCAAAATACCTATAAAGAGTCCTCAACTGTAAACGTTTTCATTAGGTGTTCTGTTGATTGCTAAAGTGTCATTAAATTTAACCTGCGTTGAATGGAGTAATTGATTGAATTGCAATTCATTTAGGGTGTGATTGTAAATTGTGAAGTTGTTGTGAAGAAAATAATTTAGGCTTCATTTAAAAAAAAAAAATTTTATAGAAGCGGAATCTGTCCGGATATCTAAGCCCATGGCTTGGTACTGCTTAGCACCGCAGCTCAGTACCGCTTAGTAGCGCAGCTCAGTATCGTTGGTGTGGTTCATTCTAATTGGTATTCGGATGAAGAGTTGTATTTGGCGTTCGCACATAATAATCTCTCTAATTTAGAAATTTTTTTTATTATTTTAAAGCAGCGTTGAGTAAAAAAGTTTTCTAAACTAGAAATTTTCTTTAAAAATCAGCTTTAAAAATGATAAAAAAATATCTCAAACAAAGCCTTAGCCAAATAAATTTATAATTATTGTATGAAAAGTAAAACAGTTATGAAGTTCCAAACACAATCCTTAATCTTGCTTGAATAAAATTTGTGATGTCATGCAACTCTCTTTAGCTTGTTGGTTGGGAGTTTGGCTCTTGACTAAGAGGTCACCCCCCTAAAAAAAATTATGATTGATTTGAGGCTTTAGGGTGGAGAGAGAGAGAATCTGGAAGATATGATGGAAGATTTAACACAACATATAATACTCTCTTTTTTTTTTTTTTTTTTTTTTTGAATATGAGGTTTAACATTCATTACTTGAATAAATTCAGGTTATAAATATGACTGTAGATGTCTCAGCTACATTGAATTTGTAATAAAAGTTTATAAAGCTCATTGAATATGCTAACTGCTACCAGTAATAAAAGAAGCCAAATTAGAAGGAAAAATGTGAAGATCTTACTGAAAGCAAGCTCATTAAAGAACAAATCAATGCCTCTGAATTAGAATGACCATAGAAAGGAAGAAAAGATTGGAAACCTATCATTCAAAATTAAATGCAGCAGCATAGCACTATACATCCCATTCTTTGATGATAATAAAATGTAGGAGAACAAAAAAGCATAGATGATGCATTTGTAACGCAAATAAATTTTATTTATGATTTTATTATGTCACTATTAAATGGCTGTGTTTTTGCACTTTTTTAGTTTTGGATATATCTAAGCTATAAAGCATGACATCTTAATTTTGATTAATGCTTGCTTGCTCAAAAAGTTATTTAAATGAAAATTCTCCAATTATATAGGCATCAAATTATTTACATATTATATAAATCAAAGTTTAAAAAATCGGATCGGACCAACTGCTATAATTGTGAGCTGGTCATAAAGCCGATCTGATCCATCCTAAAAATCATTTCTACATCAATCCGGATTGAACTGGCGAACCAAACTAGTAATCTAAATAAATAAGTTAGGTAATCAAGTTAATAACATATATATTATATATTTTTAAATAAAATCCTAAACTTGCTATAAAAATTTATTTAAATGAAAATTCTACAATTATATAGGCATCAAATTATTTACAATAATGATGGCATTTATGGCTACAAAAGATGCTTTTTCTATAGGAGATAGGATTAATGCTTAATCTCATCATGTGAGTTAACTAGCGGCTAATATTTGTTCTAATTGACTATTAGTAATTTGCCTAGAAAACATTTTTTGGCTAATGCATGTAGCTGCAATTTGGCTACTATGTAAAAATTTGTATGAAACTAATATCCTATTCATACCTATATAATATATTTTTTCAATATTAGAACATTTGCATAAGACTATTGTTCTGTTTATACTAAGATAATAAATTTTTATTAAAGCTAATTGCCTGTGAATTAGGCTGGTTATCGGGATGATTTTTCTAAGACGATATTTTCTGCAAGTAGGAGTAGAAGTCATAATTATTTGGCTATTGAGCGTATCTTGGCATAAAATTATTTATTTTTAGAAGAACTTTATATATATTTTAATTCTGGATAATTATCTATATGCCTTTTTATGGCTTGCAGTATTTCCTGAAATTCTTGATTAAAATGCTTTAATATAATGGTATCTACTTCATCATTTAACCCTCGAAGTTCTGCTATAATATCTGCTTTTATTGGAGCTAAATTATTTCTAATTTCTCTAGGTATTTCTTCACTAAATCTGAGAACCATTTTTATAATTTATTTTATGGATATATCAAGATGTTTGAAGAATTATTTCTCCCAATCAGGTAAGATTTGCTTTAAATTTTTTGCTTTGATGCCTCATTCTCCATAATTAAAAAGTAAGAAAAAGTCCAGTAATTTTATTTATGATATAAAAATTCTTTGTGACAGATGCGAGAATAATTCGACATACACCGACAGAGAACCATTTTTATAATTTATTTTATGGATATATCAAGATGTTTGAAGAATTATTTCTCCCAATCAGGTAAGATTTGCTTTAAATTTTTTGCTTTGATGCCTCATTCTCCATAATTAAAAAGTAAGAAAAAGTCCAGTAATTTTATTTATGATATAAAAATTCTTTGTAACAGATGCGAGAATAATTCGACATACACCGACTATACAGATATTATACAAAGATTCAAGAGTATTTTCCACCAGCCCAAAGACAAAGCATAAATGGGGACTTATGGGGTACAAACTCGTGAATTTTTGGATGCAGTGTACTCGATCATAGGAGTCGAAAGTTATTTCGTCTTTCAAAAAGAACTTGTATATGGTAAATATAGAACTGGATTTTCGCTTAGCTTTATTAAAACAGAGATTTTGGCTACAATACAAAATTTCTTTAAAGTATTTCTCCCCTAAGGGAGAAATAATTAAAACACTACTCACTCATGAAGAGTGATATCTTATCTATAAATTAATAAGAAGTATGACTAAGAAATAAGACTAATATGTATAAACAAATATAAACAAAGACTTTATTATTAAAGAAGAGAAAGACTTACAAGGACTGAAAGAAGACTACTTCTTGCAGAAACACTCACAATAATATTTCATACAGCTGATTCACACAACAAGTTCTTTTTTAAAGACGAAATAACTTTCGACTTTGAATTATAAACTTATCTAATTGAATGTGGGACCATCTAAATGCCATTTCTAGCAAACGGGTAGTGAAAAGGTGTGTTTCGAGATGAATCTAATGATACCAATAATGTCTTGATTTAAAATAAAATGAATCTAAATTAACTACTAAATGCATAATCAAAAACTTCATGAAATTGTATGAGGGGCATGGCTTTGATTTCTTCGCCTTATAATCAAAATAAGTGTTTTGACAAGTTGAATTTAACAAACTTAAGTTCACTCAATTCCGTGTTCAAAGAGGAGCTAACATGAAAAAGAACCAAAGAGATCAATTTCAACCGACTGTATGATGGAGTTTATGATCTATAGTCAATAATTATGGCTTTTCTTTTATACATGGATAGGCGATTCAACATTTTTAACAAAAAAATAAGAATTAGGAGAGTACTAGTGCTTTGTTTGCCAGCATGCAATATTTAACATAAACATCAGAATGGCCATCAACAATTACCACCAAAGCTTATAGTCACCAACTACAAATGCTTTATTGGGGGTGTCAATATTTGATACGACCTGAAAAATCTACTCGAACTCGACTCGAAAATTTCTGGTTATGGTCAACCCGTCTAACAAACGGGTTAGGTTCGGGTTGACCTGGCAACCCGAACTCAACCCGAGTTAATCCAAGAAAAAATCCCTGACCGCATCTGCATGCGGTCACTTCCGCGTTGACCATGTTTACCAGTCGTTGAGTCCGTGCTGACCGTCATAGCTTCGAGTGCTCGCACTGGCCGCGCCTGCCAGAGTGGCTTCGAGTGTCTCGCTAGCCTGACGTTCCGTCCTGATAGCCTACCATCATGTCGAGTGCCTGCCATCGTTAGTGCTGTCATCGCTGACTCGTCAAGCCGCTGATGCCTCACCCCGCTTGGAGCCTCAATGTCCTAGTTCATTGTCTACTCTCTGAGCAGTTGATCGCGGTGCCTTCGCTGTCTGATAACTCAGTTCGCCACGGGTCGGGTCGGGTCAATCCGGCAACTTGCGCGAGTCGGGTCCTGGTTGAAAAGGCTGATACATGACCTGATTTTGATAGCCCTATGTTTGACCATCACCGATTACCATGGGCACCTATTATCAACTACCACTGACATCTACCAAGTTTGAGTGATGCCAACATCATCCATCGACAACATATATGCATTGTCAACATCCATCTTTTATCATCATACAATATCAAACAAAATCAATATATATTATCAACCGCACCCACTCCCATCACCTAACCACATAATCCCACATTCTCTGGTGATAGAGAAAGGTTAAATATTATAACTTTCAATTAATATAGTGAAATTATTTCAATTTGATTAGCTCTCATGATTTTTTTTTACATTTTTAGGGTGTTCAAAGTAAAACTCGTGTTTCTAGCACTCCATAGCCTTATGAATGATCTTATTAGTTACTAGACATTTTCCTCTATGCATGCAAATAATTTATGAATCCATTATTAAGCTACAAGCATTGATTAGAGCCTTTTAATTCTTCTTTCGTTTCTTTTCAAAGTCCTTTGAGTCTGAGCATTCAAATGCTTTGATCACGCATGGGAAATAACGATAGTTACTCGGTTAGCCTAAAAATGAATTAACTATTCAAATGAAATAATTAATGATCTTAATTAATTGAATCTAGCTAGGTCATGTTTAAGTGATCAAGGTTAATAATTAATGGCTGATTTGACTTTAAATTAATGTATTCAATAATATTTATCTATTTTTGTTTGATTTATAAACTTCACCAAAAGATATTAAATTATTTAAAAAAAAGTTACATTTAGGATCTTAAGTGAGTCAACCTGACTTGAGCAGACAAGCTGATGAATCAAATTTGAACTATCTTCAACTCGAGTCATTAACTCGAGAGTTGGCCCGTTTAAAATTTTTTACTAAAATGCGCTTTAAATATAAATATTTAAAATTCAAGAGTTAAATTATAAAATTATTATAAATATTTAAAAATTATTTTTCTTTTTTTATTTCAAATCATTAATTTTATTTTAAGCTTCTAATAATGGCTTGAAGCATAATCAATTTTTCTTTGGCCGTGAGATGATTTGAACTAGCTCAAACAAAAACTTGATTAATTAATCAAGTTTAAGCTCAAACTAAAGATAACTCAAGCTCGACTCAACTCATTTACTGAGGTCGAGACTAAATGTTTTAATCAGTTGAGCTCGAGCTTTGTAAATGAGCTCGAGCTCAATAAAAATTATACAAACTTAGCTCATTTGACTCCAGTTTTTTACACCTCTCCAAAGTAACACTTCCAAATCGTGTTTATGAATTTATACTATACCCATTTTAGGAATTCTTAAGGAGAAAAAATCCGGAAATAGGAACTTATCCAGTTTGCGAGATCCTCTCTCACTAACAGAGGCATACGACAGCCACAGCTACTGCGATCAAATGAAGACAAGCTCACAAAAATCCAAGCCAAGCAAAAGCTCCTGCGACTTTTTATTTATTTATTTATTCTTACTTCATATTAAGATAATTTAATTAACATAAATTATTGAGTGAACTAAAAAATCCGTTGTCGAATATAAATTATAATGAATATAAAATTATAACTAAATTATAAATTAGAAAACCAACATAAGCTTTAGAAAATTAAGAAATATTTAAATTACTTTAGAAAAATAAAAAAAAATCAAATAAAAAATGAAAAATCCAAAATAAAATGAAAATTATAATCAATATCTAAATAAAAAATTACATTAATTTTATTTTTTATATTTTATCCACACAATGACCCTCCTACTTTTGACTCTTCTGAATCGCTCTCCAACTCTGCAAATCGTAATCTTTCTGTGCCCGCAAAAGAAGACTATCGTACACACAGCCTGTTTTACGCAATTTCCTTAGCCACAGACTCTCATGATGAGCACTCTACAACTTCAAAGCTAAAGCTATCTCTCTAAATGATGGCAATATCTCTCTGTCATCAAACCATCAGGAGAAAGGGACACTTCGCATTCATAGATAGGTCTGAATGCATAACTCATGCAAACAAATTTCAGTGGTAAATGTCAGATCACCTATTAAAGTGTACAGTGAAAATGAAGTAAAAACACGCAGGGAGAGGCAAGCAAGCTTGCTAGTTAATTAGATATGATCATTAGATCTCATTAAACACTAAGGCAAACTGTAAACAACTGAAACAAGCAAGCCATCACATCAGTTCATAACTACAGCTTTCTCCTAAGTCATCTAGTTAATAAGTAATTAAGAACCTCTACAGTTCTGCTAGGCATCTAAGTAATCAGATAATCAAACTCTGTATTTTACTTTATTATGACTTATAAGGAGCTCATTATAGTTCATAATATAATCTAAGAGTAAAATACAGCATACGTTCATCATAGTTCAGCTCAACTCGTCTAATTGATCAGTAATTGAAAGCTGTACATGGCAGTTGTGTGCGAGCTGAGCTGAACATGACAGAACTCTGTATTTTTTTTCTTTATTATGACTTAAAATGAGCACATTATAGTTCATAGTAAGTGTTAGGAAAGTAAAATACAGAATCATTTGAACTAGTAGTAATTTTCCCAACGGCATGGAGAGGGAGGTGAGAATACTCCAGACCAGAGATCAGCGAAGGCATGAAGAATGAGATTGTGGTGGCGGGGAGAGTTTAGTGAGAGAAAGCGGTGGAGGAGGTCGTTGAGATCATCCCAAGCGTACAAGTCATTCTCCACTATCATCTGAACCATTGATTCCCGGAAGTCAGCATAAGGCTCAGATGTTTCCTTCACCACAGGCACGCTCTCAGCCGCCGCAGACCAAGGCTTTTCCATTCCCCTGTTTCTTCTCTTCGCTCTTTTCTCCTTCTTCTTCTTCCTCTCCTCTTCTTCATGAGAGGAAAGGGAGAAGGAGGAGGAGTTCACCATGGTGGTAGAAGTGGCGGTCGAAGGCCAAAGGGAGGCGGAGGAGAGTGAGTGGGGAGTGTTTGGACGGCGAGGCTTCAGTCGGAGGGAGGTCAGAAAAGCAGAGAGCTTTGTTCGCCGGCAGCCGCATCCGACATCTACGACAGCTACAGGTTGTTTCATGGAGAAGCGCCGCCGGCCGGAAGACATCGCCGTAGTCTGAAAGCGCAAGTGGAGAGAAGAGTGTTTGTGTGCAATGAAGATGGGTCGATGTAGTTTATTAGCTTTATTTTGGACCGGACAGAAGTGCTGGGAATAGTAATAGAGTATTAATGGGCCATGTGAGATGAATGAGGGGTCAACTTAAAGAGGTGGAGAGGTTTAATGAGGAGGCTGTCAGATAAATGATCTTCAAGGACTGTTTTTAAATTGAGCACATATTAGAAGACTAGATCTTGTGTGGATAGGCTTATTATTTAAATTTATATTATGAGCATAAAATAAATAGTTAAAAATATAAATAGTTGATTAGGGATATCATATAATAATGTTTTATTCTATAATAAAGAAATGAGTTTAATATTTCATTTGAAATAACTTTTCTACTGCAAATAGCTTTTTATTTGAATTACTAAATTTTGTACTAGAAAAATAGTTTAAAATAAGTTACCTTAGATGGTTTGGTCACATTAAATGGAGGTCTTCCAATAACTCAATTAGGAAAGTTGAGGCATTAGATTTGACTTATGTTAAGAAATGTAGAGATAGACCTAAAAAGACTTTGTTAGAAAATATTAGAAATGATATTTTTTATTAGATTTAAATGAGAATTTAATTTTTAACCGGACATAATGGTGAAAAAGGATTCATGTAGCCGACCCAAATAGTGGGACAAAGACTTGATGTTGTTGTTATTGTTGTTGTAAAAATAGCTTAAAATGAAGTATGAAAGCTATCTCAAATGAAACCTAAATGTTATTTATAATATAAAAGAATTACTTTTATATTACAAACAATATTATTTTTTGTGATTAGAATAGAATATTGGCTAAGAAATCATCATAGATTTGATTTTTATGACAACTTTATAGCCCTCACATACATGTAATGCATGTCTATAATATTTTTATATTTATGTTTTTGAGAAAACTTAAGGGGTAGCTAATATTTGAGATGGTAGTATAAATATCTAATTCAAATATGTTTGTAGGTGACATTAGGATTTGACTAGTCAATAAGCATAGATCAAGCCTCAAACGTAAAGAGAAAGTTAAATCGTAGCTATGAATATCTTATGAGATTTCTATTAGTACAAAACTTATGTGATTTAATAAAATGAGTTAAGGGTGTCCTCTCACCTCATTTATAGATTTCGAGTTTGTTTGAGACAGTCTTTTTACTGTTTTTTTTTTTCAAATCGCAACCATAGTTTCTATTATTTTTACTTGTTGCGTACAGGAGTATTCGCGGCGGTAGAGAAATATCATATTTATCATATTAGCGTTGTACGAAAATTCAACACGCAATCAGATAAGAGAGAGGGTCTAGCATTTATATGAGACACTAATATTTTTACGTGGAAAACCCCTGAAAAGGGGGGAAAAACCACGGGGCCTAGCCCAGTCTGAATGAATCCACTAGTATTGTAGTTGATTACAAATGAGGTCCTTCCTTGGTGGAAGGTCTTAGCTTGATGTACATCTTATGGAGTACATTACATGATGTTAATACAAAGAGTCATTGTTGACATGTTTGTTTGGTCGGAAGGACCGTAGTCGGAGGGCGACGGAGGTCGGAAGACTTGTAGTCGGTGGGCGACATATGTTAGGAGGACCATAGTCGGTTGGCGACGGAGGTCGGAAGGACTGTAGTCGGCGGGCGATGTAAGTAAGGAGAACCGTAGTCAGCGGGCGACAGAGGTCGGAAAGACTGTAGTCGGGGGCGACATAAGTCAGGAGGACCGTAGTCGGCGGGTGACGGAGGTTGGAAGAACTATATTCGACGGGAAACATAAGTCAGGAGGACCGTAGTCGGCAGGAGACGGAGGTCGGAAAGACTGTAGTCTGACGACGAATATCAGAAGGACAACATTAGGTAAAAGTCCAAAAATGGAAATAAATCCATCTTTGCGTAGACATCCAGCGAAGTCCGATAACCGGTAGAAGTCCGGCATCGGGTAGAAACTTGGCGAAGAGTGAAGGTGCGACGTCAGGTAGAAATTTGACGTCTGTTGGTGGCAGAGGAGAACTCCGGCCTCACTTGGGCGGAGTTTCGACGTCAGGAGGGAACTCTATCGTTAATTGAGAAGAATTTCCACATCCCGTGGAAGTTGGGAAGAATTCTGGCGTTCTCCAAAATATCCGGCAGAATCCCGGCGTGTTCGGGCGGCGGGAAGAGCTCCGGCGGTGGTCGAGAAGGAGAGGATTCTCCTTTTCCCCTTTCTCCTCTTCTTCTTCTCTCTATTCACTTGAGTCCCTCTTGTGAAGAATGAGGGCTCTATTTATAATTTTTTTGGAGTGGAATGGCTTGTAAATAGGTGTGAGATCATGGGCGAATAGGGAGTGGTTTGAATGGACGGCTGATATTGAACCCTTCGATCGTGCATCGTTCGTAGGACATTTGGAGGCCTTAATGATGTCGGAATTTGGCAATCTTAGGCTCGTTGGATTCGTCTCGTCTAGTCGCTCGATTCGAGTATAAATTCGTTAAAATCGGAGACCGTTTGGTAACTCAAATTGCGGTTTGAACCTTCCAACAGCGCTTCGGGTCCTTGATTCAGACTCATTTGGGCTCGGATTGAGTTGAACTTGGTGTCGTTGGGTTCGTATTTCCGAGACGCTCAGTTTGACTGTAAGCTCGCTGAAATCAAAGTTAGGGTGCTTCCGGATTTAATTTTTGAAGTTTCCAACTAGCTTTTGCCTCGAGATTCGTGCCCGATCAAGCTAATTTTGTGATGCCGTATCATTACTATTTTTTTCATTGTTTTTAAAAAAATGTGCACTAAGAAGTTGCTTTCTACAACAATTTTAAGAGGTTAATTTCTATACAATAGCTTTACAAAATAGTAAGAAAGCTATCACAAATAAAATCTTAAATAATTGTTCAATTTTATATAAATGACTACATGTAATACAATTAAAGTTCTCTAGGATTGCTTAATGATCTTGCTATAAAATTTTATAAGTTTCTTACCTCTTTGTTATCTAGGTACTTAGGCATATTTTGATGAGTTCCAAGTCTATATATTATGAGATTTTTGGGAAAGGATTTCCCTAGCAAATTTTTTAGCTACTTCTCTTGACGAGTTCTGATCAAGGCAAGCTCATTTTGAGCGGGCGAGTAGATTTTAAGTTACAATGATTTCACTTTCTAAGTATCATGGTTGAATACATCATTTCTATTAGAAACTTTATCATATATGTGAATAGATTCAAATGACTTGGTGATAATTCTTTGTGTAATTTAAAGCTTTTGATGAATTGGTTTAAGTGTTGGTGATTTGCTTAACTCAATTTATGTTACCTAGATGACTTTATTCACTAGACCTATATGGATATATGTGTATATTAATTAGTTCATCAATTCTCTTATCTATGAAGGAATTAGAAATAATCAAGAGAAAAAAAAAAAGACTTGCAGAACTGGACACTATCTTGGTGAGCAAGTATATTGATTGTGATTTGATTATATGGATTTAATATATATTTCACATAGATATGTTAGCATCATTGGAATGCTTATAAATATTTACCATTAGATTTCATTTTAAGATTATTCTTGCCATTGCTCTTCTTCTTCCTTATCTTGCAAGAAGAGTCAATACATGGAAAAAAAATAGTTACATCCACAATTGTCTCTAATGAGAGAGATGAGGCAACTAAAGAGGGCACTAATAAAGAGAACTAAGAAAATATATGTTAAATGAGAGAGATGAGTTGCAGCTCTTTGATCATGTAGTAGATATTCTATAGATGAACATTGATAACCTTATTACATCGTACCTAAAAGGTTTTACCATCATGACATTTTACGATGTTGTTGGGCAAGATATAAAGTCTATAGAATAATATGCTTTATAATTGTACCCCACATATAAGAGTATATTTTAAGCATATTCTATAAGTGCATATCTTCTAGAGTCTATCTAAAGGTCATGGAAATTAATGCAGCCTCCCCTCCACAAATGAAGAGAAGAAGTCAACTTTTGATCCATCATACCTTGAATGATAGGAGAAAACGAAAAATAGGAAGACCCACTGCAAAGGATTAGGATTTAGATTAAGATAAAAAAGAAAGAGAATGGCATGGGTAATGTCGGCCCCTAAACTTCTTGAGGAGAGAGAGCGATACAACTAATGTGGAAACCACATTGCCATTTGATTTCCATCATCCATATGATTATAAAATACATCCAATGAGCACTTCTCTTTCTCAAACTTATCCTTTCTTTCAAAAAAAAAAAATAAATAAATAATAAAATATTAAACTAAAGAAACACTGGTTAAACACCCCTTACTAAAATAATAAAAAATATTTTTGAAGTGTTAGAGTTGAACCTATCAAGAGGAGTAAAAAAATGGTTATGACCTCCTTCCAAGCTCTTGTGTAGCTTGTTATGCCTCAATGCAAATTCTACACATTCATTTAACAAAATCTATATACTTGTTGAAAGGTATCGCTCATTACTGTCTCTTAAAGATTCCTCTAATAGTGCACAATCACTCCTGCAACACAACTACTGCACCCAAACTCAACAATATCGTTAGTAAATTGCAACCAATAAGACAATATTTACTCATATTTCAGTTCTAATAAGATAAGAAGTTGTTTTATTTGATGAGAAGTGAGTTGACTATTTTAAATGCAAGCTTTTGGAATTTTGATATTTAGTTTTGAAAAAAAAATGCGTCGCATCCTAGAATATTCACGGCGATAGAGGAATATACAGTCTAATGCTTTAGCATTGTACGAAGATCCAGCACGCATGCAAAAAGAGAAGTAAAACACCTGTTCTTTTTTACGTGGAAAGCCCAAAGAGGGAAAAAACACGGGGCCTCGCCCAGGTTAAAAGATTCCACTAAACTTAAGTGAATTACAAGGGTTGAAAACCCCATGAATTATTTATTAATCACATTTTTTTGCTTAATTACACATTTAACTTTTTTTTTAAATTCCTCATGTTTTCACCTCTCTTTTTTTAGTGCTAACTCATTAGCAAACATTGATGAGTATGCGTTTCGTTTGGGTTGCAT